GTGTGTGTGTGTGTGACACATTTAGCACCTGCATCCCCAGTCATTATGATCAGATTTAGTAATCGACAGCATCTATCGATCATCTGCTCAGTATCTGATAAACAATGAGAATCTCCCACCTCCTTCTTGACGCTGCGCAGCAGCCTCTGACGCGTCTCCAATTCTGTAATCAGACAAACACAGATTCTGTCTCATCCGAAACTCATCCTGACGCGCAGCTTTCGCACAGATTAAAAGCTGAAAGACTCACCTGCCATGGCTGGAGTCCGCTGTTCTTGTGAGGGATGAATGTGCGCAGGATGAAGTGCGTCGTCGTGAGTCGGGCGCGCAGGGCGTGGCGTGGAGCGTCAACGCGCCGCAGTCGGGATGCTGTGCTTTGGTTCTGATCTCTAGAAGGCTATACACTCTTAAAAATAAAGGTGCTTCACGATGCCATAGAAGAACCTTTTTGTCTAAATGGTTCCATAAAGAACCTTTAACATCTGAAGAACCTTTCTGTTTCACAAAAGCTTCTTTGTGGCGAAAGAAGGTTCTTCAGATTATAAAAAGGTAAGAAAGAGATGCTTCTATAAAGAACCTTTGACTGAATGCTTCTTTGTGGAACCAAAAATGGTTCTTCTATGGCATCGCTTGAAGAACCTTTTGAAGCACCTTTATTTTTAAGAGTGTATTTAAATTAATAGTAAAGAGTGACAGGGATATTCTCAAAATGGACAAAAGTCATTTGTAGTGTTTCAGTCTTGATATCGAAACCCGTAAGACAAATTCGCCATGGGCACCCTCAAGATTTTCCCAATTCATGAGTAAAATAAGGTGTGTGGCAAGGTCAGAAATTAACTTTTGCATTGCATTTGCATTGCATTGATTTCCAGGGGCATTTTTTTACATTCTTGAGGGCAATCTTGAGGGCAATCACCATACTATGTTGTCTTTAATGTCAAATAGGCTACTCAAATTTACCAAATTACTATAATCAATATTTTAAACTGTTATTAGTAACAATAGATTGTTTAAAATTGTATCTAAGTTTTATTATGACAAAAAACATCATATATTATTGTTCTTTGTATTGTAATAATTATTACTACTAATATATAGTATTATTATTTCTTTATTAAAGTAATGTAACTGATTACATTTGAGTATGTTTTTTTTTTTTAAATCGCTAATGAATGTTTTCAGCTGTTATTAATTTTCAAACATTTAAAGCAGGGAGGATTAACTTTACAGTAGCCTAGTACTCAACACTGATTACTTGAACTAAAGGGATAGTTCACCCAAAAATGAAAATGTGATGTTTATCT